TTTGTCCATTTTCCAAGCAAGTAGCCCCTGATGCGTTCTGATTGGTTGGGTGATGAGGCCGCACCTTCTTCTGCCTCCCCTCAGCTCCCATTTATTCTTTGACACCTAATGAAGGTTTCCATCCTATGCAACCCTAATCTCCCCCCCCTCTGCCTGATGTGTTCAGATGGAGATATCCCATAATGCTCTGTGTCCGGGTGTTCTCTGCGTAAAATTAAATAGAATACAAAAAAAAAACCTTTTTGTTAATTAAAAGAAAAAAAAAAAATCACGGTTATAGTTTCTCTTTTAAATCTCTCGGGGCTTTCAGTGGCTGTTTGGAGTTTCAGTCGGAGACAGAGCGCCTGTAAGCAGGTCGCGTGCCATATAAAATGTATCAATTCAACAATCTATAAACCTAAACGGGACGGGAGGAGGCCGATCCCAAACACAAAGCTTTTCCTGCACAGAGGATTTTACAGTAACATTGTGTGTTATGTGTAGCAAATGTTGTTACCAACCCCCCCCCCCGGGTCTGTATTGCTCCTGGACAGGTACACTTTGGGCAGTATGATATAGGGACAGTCAACTTGGAGACCGGATCTCAGGCCGCATAGTTTCCTTATATAACCGAGAACCAGTCCTCACCAAACTGAGTCATAGCTCTGAATCAGATAGAAGACTGAAGGGGAGGACGGAGGTCAGAGAGAAGACTGAAGGGAAGGACGGAGGTCAGAGAGAAGACTGAAGGGGACGACGGAGGTCAGAGAGAAGACTGAAGGGAAGGACGGAAGCGCTCTGTGCGTGTCCTGTGTGCGCTCCCTGCGCTCTGTGCGTGCCCTGTGTGCGCTCCCTGCGCTCGGTGCGTGCCCTGTGTGCGCTCGGTGTGTGCGCTCGGTGCGTGCGCTTTGTGCGCTCCCTGCGCTGTGTGCGTGCCCTGTGTGCGCTCCCTGCGCTGTGTGCGTGCCCTGTGTGCGCTCCCTGCCCCTCGTGTTCTATGTGCTGGCAGTGGACTTCTCCTCTTGCTGTGCAGTCACCGGGGGGGCCCCGGAATTCCCATCATCCTATAATAACAGTGAGGGGATCGGAGACACTGAGCCCCATAATCAGGGGGGAGGAGCCTGCTGATTATATGGGAGGAAGTGACTGTAATCAGCGCGTCGTGTCACCAGAAAGCCGCAATTAGAAGTCAAATGTCGGCGGATATAAAAGACGTCTTTTGCTGAACACGTTGTCAGCGCCCCTCCTCCTCCTCCTTACCCCGGGGAAGATATTTAATGACACAATTATAACTTCCTGTCCCATAACATGCCGCGCACGGCTCCCCTCCTCCCCAGTGTAACGAAGAGCTGACAATCAATTGGCGGTCATCGAGGATTATGGGGGGCGATGGAGAACGCGGTTCAGTGACGCGGCCGGGCTATGAAATCGCGCACTTTTCCCCAAGTGGTTTTGGGGTCTCTATGGCGCCCCCCCCTGCCCCCCGTGTGTTCCATGTTCAGACCCGAAACCTTCCCCGGTCCCGGCTGAAGCTCCACCCACAAAGACTGAACAATTCCCCATCCAGTGAATGTACATTCATCCTGTGTGAATAACCAGCATTCACTCGTGAGTATCCGGGATCCCTTTGATCTGGGCGCGCGCTGCGTATACCGCACCGAGAGATCCATCTGGCGATCAATAATCAATAACGTTACATTGTGACAACCCGATGATAACACCCCGAGGGGTTGTCTGTGACTTTCCTTATCGCTGACACATTCACGCGGCGCGTCCCGTATGATTGGCCCCCGGTGAATGTTCATCGATTTGGTGTCGCAGTTTTGTAAATGGAGATTTTCAGAAGAAAGATTTCGGTTGAATTTTGGAATCTTCTACCCCCTCCCCACCCCCCCCTT